TGAAATCCGTCGCTAAATGCTGTTTTTTTTGTAGTGTCCAAAAACTGGAAGTAAGAAAGAAAACTGTAAACGATGAAATTCGTTCTCGAACCATGACGACTCACCAAAGCTCGAAATCTCTCGAATCAACCTCTAGCCACGAAACTGAGAACCCTGACTAACGGACGCTACATTTGGGGGAAATGTAGTCAAGAGTATGCGTTAGTACAAACATGTACCAAGTATGATAGCCACACTTAAAACATTTGATAATATGCTTAAAAAGGGGACATTTCATGACATGCAATGACCAAGCTAAAACATGTTATAAAACGGGTTAGAAAATATGAGTCATAAAACATGGTCAATGCAAGCTAACATCATTATTTTCTTTTAACTCATGTGATATACTTCTTGAAGTAACCTTAGTTCATTGGTATTGTGGGAAGTAGCCTTAACTGACATAGAGATCATGTGAGCTATAACATGATCCGCGGTGTCTCCCACACAGAAAAGAGTTGTCCTACTTTCCAAAGTAAGGACCATGAACTTCTAGGTTAAGTGGATCAACTAGAAAATGTCAATTTAGACAAACATCCTAAGGAGGCACATAGGTAAGGGATAAGGAGATTTCTTATAGAAACTCGGCCTCTACTAACGAGAGAGATTCCATCTAAATATCCTCTCGGTACTAAGAATAAATCCCATGGAATAATCATTTTCTTACTTGTTCTCATTATCCATGGAAGGTCACTCCATCTTGCCAATCCAAGCTAAGTCATAAGTCATCCATGGAAAGAAATCATTCAATAACTAATCCAAGCTAGGTTTCGTAAGGATAGTTCTTTATCTTTGATTCATTTAGCTGAGAAGACCTTTCAATCTTGGAATCCTTACTATGTGAGAAATCCTTTCATTGATACTTCACTCTCAAAGCATCCTTAAAACATTTACACAAATTTCACAAGAACATGCTTAATTTCATAAACTCTTCATTCATAATAAAAAACTTACATCATATCTTCGTAATTTGGAAAACATGGGAATTACATGGATTCTTGGGGAATCATCATAAAACCATAGAATTTCATCAATTCATGCATAAGAGATCATAATTCCATCAATTAAATCAATAATCAAGAGAACCCATAATGTAGAAGAAAAACCCTAACTCAATTGGGGATTTCTAACTTTGAAAATAGGAGAATTTGGGAACTCCATGAATGGAAGGAATCCATGGATGCAAAATATCATACTTCAATGCAAAAGCTTGCCTTTAATTGTGGAATTGGAGTCTTGCCTTGAAACCCTAGGTTGAACCCTTCTTCTTTAAGTTTTTAGAGAGAGAAATATTTTGGAGAGGAAAAACTTGATTCTTCTATGTAAATTTGAGAGAATGACTTGAATGGGAAAGTTTTGGGGTTAAAATAATTTATATTAGGGTTTTAGGTAAGGTCAAAACCACATAGAATCAAGACAAAATAATTAGGAAAAAACCCAACTGCCCTTAACTTAGAGCTGACGCGAACCTCCAGATGGAGGCCCACACGTGCCGTCAAGGACTTCACGGGCCGTGGTGGCAGCCGTGGTCCTTGACCATAGGCCTAAAAACATTCCCCAAACTTCCCCTCTCATCATGAACCACTCCACAAGCCGTTATAGCCCTCACGAGTCGTCTAGTGGCTCGTGTGGAGGGCCAGCCCTAAGGTGGCTACTATATTCCCCTTCAAGGTCATCACTACGCGTCATGGTGCTCACCACGAGCCTTCTAGGTGCTTTTGAGAGGGGAACCCTTTTTGGCCTAACTCTGTGAGCCTTCATGAGCTAGACCATTCCTTGTGGTGCCCTTCATGGCTCTTCTAGGCCTTCGTAGGGGATGCCCCCACTCAGTCTTTGGCATGTGACCTCTCAATTAGTCCCTTGATTAACCTACTAGATTTCGAGGTCTTACATGACGCCTCTGATTGCCATTGGGTATTAAGGCTAAATGATGTATATGATATAAAGGTAAAGTTGTTAATAACATCATAATATATGAGTTTGATATACGTGTGTATCCTATTTTAGGGTGGATGAACTCAAATATGTGTATACTATTTTAAGGTGGATTAACCCAACTTTTCCTATTTGAGGGAGGATGAACCTGTTTATCCTATTTTAGGGTGGATGAACTAGATATATTTTATATTACCATGGATGAACCCATATCCTATTTTAAGGTGGAGAAACCCAATATGTCCTATTTTATGGTTGACAAACCCATGTCCTATTTTCGAGTAAACAAACCAGTGTACTATTTTAGGCTGGACTAACCCAAATTCCTTGTGAATGTCTTCGGGGACTAGTTTTAATGATGCCTATGATTGTCTTCAGGACTTGATTAAGTGATTCCTCCGATTGTCTTCCGGGCTTGATGAAGTGATGCATCCGGTTGTATTCAAGGGCTAGATGTTGATTGTTGTAAGCTCTTAAAGAATTGTAGGGTTAAATTATTAATTAAGTCATAATGAAGTAAAATAAAATAAATATAAGGGAGAAACAATGTCGTGTGGCTTATGACTATGGGACCGGATTGATTCCTTCAGTTGTCTTTGGAAGTTTGTTGTTGGTTACAGTATAATTCAAAATAAAGTCATTAAAGTAGATACAATGAATTAAAAGATATTTAATAATGCAAAAAATAAAATAAAATTAGTGAAGTTGTTTAGTTGTTGGTGATGGTGATTATTTTAATTAGTTGAATGCCACATCTTATCTTTGATATTTAAGCCTTGATGTGTAATTTGCTGGATTGAGTGGCGCCTGTAATGGACTTGATTTTTATCAATAAATTTCAAGAGGACTTTACCCGCAAATTTTGGGTTATGATGTTAATAATAGTATAAAGTTATGATGAAGAAAAATGAATAAAGTCAAAGATAAAGTGAAAGGTGGGTTCATTTGGCTTACTCAGGCGAGGCCCTGGAGGCAAATGATTCATTTTATGTAATCCAGTGTTGACATCTTGGATCTTTGTTATTCCAGCACTCAAATAAAAATTCTTAGTTGGGAGGGGGTATTGATTCGCAGTGACTTGAAGCTTGACTTTGCTGGCACTATGTCCATCCTATTTGTTCAGACCTTGTGATGTCCGTTTCAGAGTTGGTGGATGAACAGTAAAAATATTTCTTGTAAAATAAATATAAAAAAAAAAAAATAATCATTTGAAAGAGACATTTGTTAGTGTGTAGAAAAATATGTAAGTATATGTTTATAAGTTCTAAGAAATATATTTTCTACCAACTCTTAGATTGTGATAAATTTGAAACAAAATAAACATCTTTTGTCTGTTATTTCTCGTTGACCAAGTTTTTCCAAAATTCTTCCCCAATATTGATTTTAGAGAAGTATACTAAACTTATGTTGTGATGAGACCGATCCTCATATAGGGTGCCTATGTATCTCGCTAAGAGAATGAGGTCAAAATGTAGTTCAAGGTACATAAAAATGATTCTGAATTTTTCTATTAAAGGGACCAAACCCGATATGATTTTCATACATATCCCACCAAGGGAATCAGGCCATGTGTAGTTCAAATTACATAAATAGTAAAAGGATTTTGAGTTTCTATTCTAATGTGACTAAACTGTATGTGGGTGGACTACGTATCCCACCGAGGGAATCAAGTCATGCGTTGTTCTACGATTATAAATAAAAAATTATAAATGTTCTACTATAAAACTGTTGTTCTCCTATCTCAAGTCACCATTTGTTGAGTGTCTTAACCTCTGTTTAATAGGTAATTTTCATGGTTGAATGTTTTCATGTTCCTTGGTTGATGGTTCAACTGTAGGTTGTCTTCTAATCCTTCAAAATCTTCTGTGACATCAAACTTTGTTCATTTCTTTCATTGTACGTCATAATCATAAAATTGGCAGATTCAAAAATGGATATATGTAAAAATAGATATATTTGAAAATAATAAGTAAGAGAAAATAAAGAAAATAAGAAATGCATTCATAGATTTTGCAATTAAACTTCCAAAAAATGAGGCAAAACAAAAGAAAGTTTTAAGACACGATTTAAACCTCAATTTTTAAAATTATGCTACTTCAAAAATGTTACTCCCTCTATCCCATTTTATATGACTTACTTTCCTTTTTATTCAGCCTCAAAAAATTTCACATTTCTATAGTAACTAACAATTTAACTTTAAAATGTCCATTGTACCCTTAATGAAATATTTTATAGAAACACTAATTTTTATCATTCATTTTAGACCACAAAGTTTAAAAGTCTTTATTTCATTCTTAAACTCCATGCCAAGTCAAACTGCCTCACATAGAATGGAACTGAGGGAGTAATCGATGGAGTACTACTTGTTCAATCTACCAAGACTCTTGGCTAACCAGGTATGGAGTACAAGTCCAATTATTCAAAGTCTTGTTTGGTTCAACGCCTCAAATGGTCGGTGTGTCGGCTTTGTAGAGAGGCATTTAAGTAGTTGTAGGAGTGACCTTCATCAATGGTTGTTCTCGAATTGTCATCACAAGAGTATCCAAGGCCAATAAAGTGTACTTTTTCATCCTTTTAGTTGGCACTATACTTCCTTTCACTTCCAAATTTTCCTTTATAGTTATCATGTTCACATTAGCATTCTAGTGGTCAAGTAGAGGGTTGTTCACGTTAGGTTGAGGTCCAATAAGTTGAATTGCTCCTTCTTTAATTAAAGCTTCAATCTTGTTCTTGAGACCATATCAATCTTCAGTGTCGTGTCCAAGAACTCAGAATGATTGGAAAAACACTTGGAACCATCAAACCATTTTGGAATTGGATCAGGAATTTTCCCTTCAAATGGTTTTATCATACTTATTGTTTTCAACCTCTAAAGCAACTGATTCAATGATTCAGTCATTTTAGTGTAGTTGCGAGTGCTTTTGATTTCAAGATTTTGACGAGTTATAGGTTTCACATTTGGTCAATTTTTGCAAGTTGGAGCTTGGACTGGTTAGTACGAATGTGGGTTGTGGTAAGTAGGGGCTCCAGGTTGATAGTAGATTGCATGGGTGTTGTAAACACGGTAAGGAGTTGATGGAGAATGGTAGAGACTCTATGAGGCTTCACCATATTGGTAAGGGTTAATGGGATGATGTGGTTGATTCCAGTAGAGAGCAACTTGACCTAGCCTACATCCTTGGTAAATCATGACAACAAACACATATTCTCTTTTCTTTTTGTTCCCATTGATAGAACCATATTGAATTGCTTTTCTTACAGCTTGCAAATTTGTGAACTCTTTGATTTTTACTTATTTGATTCCTTTTTCCAAGATTTCTCCCATTCTAATTATTTCTATGAACTTCTGTCCCATCATGGTTATCATTTTCTCATATTAAAGATTGTTATCTTGGCATTCAATGAAGGTAGCAATCGTTTCACTTTCACTTATCGGTGGTTGGACTATAGCTTCTTCCGACCTCCAACGTAGAGTATACTCCCGAAATATCTCAGTTGACTTTTTATTTAACTTAATCAAGAAGAACCTATCTAGTGTGATGTCAGTATTGAACTTGAATGGAAACATAAAGTCTTGTGCCATATCACTCCAACCATGCCATTTATGGAGATTTTGTTGTCTGTACCAAGAAAGAGCTTCACCATATAAACTTCTTATGAGCAACGTCATTTTGACCCTCTCGATTCTCCCCACTCCTACCAATTTGTCACAATATGCCCTTATATGTATGAGGGTCCACGATTCCATTGAATATATCAAACTTTGGTGGTTTGTATCCTACATGAAAATTAATGCCGGGCAGCACACATAAATCCTCATATTCTAAGATTTCCCCCCCCTAGTAGTTTAGAGATTTCTCATTGTTTCTTTATGATCGCTAATCGCTATAGGTTACACATCATTAACCTTTGTCTTGACATACTTCTCAATTTCCTCATACTAATCTACCTCGGGTTGAAACTTGAGTGATATTAGGTTCGTAAAAGGTTGAGTTACCACCACATCTACTGGAGGAACAAGTCGCGCATAAGAAGTGTCAGTATTTTCCACTTGTATATACTGAGCCGGATAATTTTAGGAAATGGGCGTATTTTGGATTAGAAGTGGTGGATTTGATGGGTTTACATGTGAATTTGTAGGTTGTGAAGAGGTGTTAGTGGGTAGAGAAACGTAGGTATTCTGAATTGGAGGTTGATTATTGGATTGAAAAGTGGTGGATTAGGAGGAGTAGCATAATTAGTGTAGGAAGGTGGTTAATTTGTGGCGGAGTGTAGATTGGTGGAAAATTTTGATGATTTGCGAGGATTGTTGGAGGAAGGTTATTGTTTGTAGGTAGAGGTTGTTGTTGAGGAAAGTGTTCAGGAATTTGTGAATCAAGTGATGGAAAATGAGGTGGATTTGGTGCAATATTCCTAGGTTCAGGTTGTGGACTTTGTAGTGTGATAGAAAGATTGGTCAAGTCCGTAACTCAAGTAAGTTCATTAAGTAGATCCTCGATTACTTGAGTAAAGCGGGTGATATGTTCATCATGTTGAATTGTAGTTCTATTTTCAAAAGTCTCGAGAGAATCATTGGGAATGATGATATGTCCTTGACAAATTGGATCAGGCGTGGTTGGGTCAGTCATAGTTATTCCTTGAACAACCTAAGTAGGTTAAGGTAATGTCGATGACTTGGACATTATAAAGTAAGGATGATTGGCCAGCTCGATTGTCTACACGAATCAACTTTTGATTGGAAATAAAATTAAAGATAAAAGATAGAAAATAAAATACAAATGATGTTAGTTTCAAATTAAAAAGTAAAGTCATGTTCACGTAAACTCAAATAATTAACATAGCAAGCAAGTCAAATAAGTGATAAAAATAACATACAAACAAGTCATGAAGCAAAGTCAAATATGTTATCAAATAACATACAAACAAGTCATCAAGTGAAGTAAATTATGTTTTAAAAATAACATGTAAATGCGTCCTAATATGCTTGTGACCTCTTTATGCAAGAGGTAGACCTAACGTAAATTTAAGGACTATATTTGCCTTAATATGTCATTCCATTGCTCATTAATTAAACAAATTTTATTTCTCTAAAATAAAATTAAAGTACAAGAGTAGTGAAAAGTTTATTACATTTGAATGTATACAACATAAAGCACTTCCTAATCCAAATAAAGTAAAAGAGATTTTGTCATGTCGAATCTTCTTGGTTCCTTTTTAGTGATTTTACTATATCTTGTACTCCAACGTAAAGTCTTCGTACATGTCATTGAAAGGATAGCCATACCATCCCCCTAAATAATGATAAGTTGTCACTTGGGGTGTGAAACTCACCAGGATATTTAAGGTAACATCGACTAACGGAGTTAATAACCCAAGGAAATAAAGCATCTTAGGCCATGAAATGATGCATGCTCCTTATAAAGTATGTTGGTTTATCTCTACTCTAGGTAAACTAGGAGTGGGTTTACTAGACACAAGATTCTCTAGTGGACTACTTGAGTGAGAAGCCAGCACAGTCACAGGGAAAAAGATTCGGACACCCCACGCATACGCTAACTCTCCTAAATTTTGGAATTTTGAAAGAAATTTATAGGTGCGCAAAACACACCTCTCGTGAAAGTGTGATAGTGTGAATTTCCTAGAAGTAGAGAAATATGAACAGAATGACATTTAGGAAAAACAGTAACACACAAACAATTTATAGCAAACAAAATTTGTATAACATGTAAAAAAAATTTGTAGTAAACAAATAAGTTAGCATATCAAAATAATTTATAGCAAACAAACAATTGATTAACATGTAAAAATAGTTCATACTAAACAAATAATTGATAGCATGTAAAATAAATTTATGACAAGTAAAGTAAGCACATAAATTCTAATTAAACTAAGTCTGTTATAGTTAGAACCTAAAACTCCTGAGTGAGTCGTCATGCTGTTATACCTCATGTTAACTTTGTCAAAATAGTATACAACATTTTGGTGATTCCTAAAGAAATTAACTAAGTCAAGGAGATGTCACCTAATTATTTATGGTGAATTAGGGCACCTACAATTGATTAAAGTTATTGTCTAAAGTTAACTCCATTTTAAGGTCTTAACTAAACATGAGATTCTAGGTAAGGGTTAAATTAATCAAAAGGAAAGGGATGAGGCATCCTTTAAAATCCATTTACAATGGTTAACCGATCGAACTTAAATTAATTAATTAGGCTAAGAATCCTTATTGATTTGGAAATTACTTAGTGAGTATGTAAATAAATTTGTCAATTAATAATTTTTTTCAAGAAAAACATAGATATTGGATTAACCAGATGTATATTCGATTAGGTAAAATCTAAAGCTTAAGGTTAACATTAAAATCGTTTGACTTCTTCAAAAATACAAGTGCAAATAAGCCTTGCTCAAGATTCAAAATTAAATGTAAAAACCTCTTTTAAAAAAACATTATGTTGATACTTGTAAGAAAACAATTTATGAAAATAGTAAACTTGAGTTCAAATTAACACAAGAAACTTCTAAAATTATTTCTTTTTGTAGAAGAGTTGCTACGAAGAAAATGTTTTTGGAGGAACTACCTCACTATTCAAACAACCCAAATTAAAATAACTTTATCTACAAGTTCAAAATCATTAAAACATATTAATACATTAAAATCGACCAATGATAAGTCATGAATCAAATCGGCTAGTAATCAATAATCACATAAGTGACATAAAATTGTTAGTAATGCTAAACAATCAAGCAAGCAGAAGTAAGAAACAATATTTATAAGATAATACAACAACCAAAATCGTCTAACAATAAAAAGATCAAATTATTTCTTTTGTGCTTCATTTTAAGCGATCTAAAGTATAAAGCAAGCGAGGATGTGCAGACTCCATGTGACAATGGTGTCATTGAGTCTCATAGTAGGACTTTTTAGCTCCGGTTTGTACATGTAAACAAAGATAAGAGAGGAAATAAGAAGTTAGAGGAGTAATTTGATTCTTAAATAGTTAACACAAGGGTAAAAAACAGAGCAAGTTCTATAATCACTTGATTCATAATAATAATATTAAGACATACATAAAAAGAACACTTCTATTATGTGTCAAAATATCAAATATAGTGAAGAGTACATGATTAGAAGAAAAACCTTCAAAACATGGTTTTAAGTACGGCATTTTGAACAACCATTGTTTTATATGTATGTGTATATTAATGATTACTAAATGAGATTGAAGACATTCGTTTTGCGTCAAAACTAAATCATTAATAAAGTCTTCTGTTTTAGAGAATATTTTCTGAGTTTTTAATACTAAACTAAGTATGAAATATGTTTCTTTCCATATGTATTATCTAGTACTTAAATTAGCAGGTGAAACGTCAGTACAGGGGAACACACAATAAACAGAACAAATTGAAACGAATGAAAAATTATAACCGTTAATTATACCTAAAGCATGATTTCTAACAAAAAAGTAATCATGTGTAAGTTTAGATTTTACCTTTTATAGTGCAATGAACTAGGGACATCGTGTGCCTCAAATCTACTCCCTTTCTCCAAATTCTAACGACCCAAAGTATACCCTAGGAATAACATGGCATATTGGACCCCGAGAGTCCCCACATAAGCCACTTAGCATACATCATACAAGATAGTATAAATAAATAGTTTAAAGGAAAGAATTTCCTATATCAATATAGTTTGACAAAAGCGAAAGTGAAACATAAGTCTCAAGCCATCTAATAAATCGTAATGAGAGTGATTGGGACGTAACCCATACATCACATACAAAGTTGGAAAGGAAAAGGACATAAAGAAATAAAAGAGTCTCGCAAACACGAGGACTCACCAATCATCAAAGT